GTGAGTACCATCTGCTTTCTACCAACACTCAGTGGCCGTTTTATCAGAAACGCTTACACACTTGAAAAAGATGGTTCTTCAAGGGTTCTTTAGTAAAGGGAATGGTTCTATTTAGAACCATGAACACTCAAAAAAAACATTTTCATGCTTAAACGGTTCTCTGCATGGTGAGTTCTTCAGATTGGTGGAGAATGTGTTGTATATGGTTCTATATAGTTTCAAAAATGGTTCTGCTATTGTCAAGCTTGTGACGACAGAAGAACCCTTTTTGGTGCTATGTACACACTTAAAATTGGTTCTTTAGGAGTATTTTAGTAAAGAAAATGGTTCTATTTAGAATCATGAACACTCAAAGATTCATTTGCATGCTTAAATGGTTCTCTGCATGGTAAAATGGTTCTTCAGAATGATGGCAAATGTGTTGTATATGGTTCTGTGTAGTGCCAAAAAAGGTTCTCCTGTTGTTACGATGCCAAGCTTGTAGCAATAGCAGAACCTTTTCAGTGCTATATGGAATCCTTCTCAAAAAGGTTCTAAATAGGACCCATTTTCCATCAATCTGAAGAACACTTTCAGAAACCTTAAATCATGCAGATGGTTCTTTGAGTGTTCATGGTTCTATACAGACCCATTGTCTTTACTAAAGAACCCTTGAAGAACCATCTTTTTTTAAGAGAAACCTCACAGCTCTGCTAAATAGCTGTGTTTATATATCAGCCCCCTCTAATCCATTCATCACTGGTGAGTTTCTGACCGCAGGGCTGCTGTTGTCCGGATATTATGTGGGTGGTGGTTCATCCTCAGCACGGCAGCGACACTGAGATTATTCAGTGTCTACTATGAATTACTCAGCATCTGTTATGAATTATTCAGCATCTATTAATTATTCAGTATCTGTTATGAATTATTCAGTATCTACTATGAATTATTCAGTGTCTACTTTGAATTACTCAGTATATGTTATGAATTATTCAGTATCTGTTATGAATTATTCAGTATCTGTTATGAATTATTCAGCATCTATTAATTATTCAGTATCTGATATGAATTATTCAGAAACTACTATGAATTATTCAGTATCTGTTATGAATTATTCTATTAATCTATTAATCTATTAATTATTCGGTATCTGTTATTAATTATTCCATAACTATTATTGTTCAGGATATATTATTAATTGTTCAGTAAGTGCTATGAATTATTCCATATCCACTATGAATTATTCAAAAACTACTATTATACAATAACTACTGTTAATTATTCAGTATCTGTTATAAACTGTTCAATAATTACTATGAATTATTCAGTATCTACTATAAAAACTGCTGTGTGAGTTTGGAGTTATGCAGTTTGTGCTACCAAGTGTGCAGAGAGACAGAAGGAGATGAGGAGAGAACGACTCTGTATGAGTGTGTGTGTGTGTGTGTGTGTGTGTGTGTGTGCGCGCGTGTGTGTGTGTGTGTGTGCGTGTGTGTGCGTGCGTGTGTGTGCGTGCGTGTGTGTGCGTGCATGTGTGTGTGTGCGCGTGTGTGTGTGTGTGTTTTCATTGGGGTCGTGTTGCCTGAGCTTCATGTCCAACAGTAAATGAGCTCCAGCGCTCCAGAAACACTCTGACCTATTTACACAAGGGCAGCTGGTAAGTTCCAGCAGTGCAGCCTGATGATGTGTGAGAGGAGTGCTGTGCAGGAGTGCGGTGTATACGGTTAAACTGTGTATTTCACTATAGTGCACACACCCTTTTAACATTAAAGAGTGGCTGAAAATCATAAACTATACGCGCTGTTATGGCAGCCAGTTGTGGACAGTTCAAAGCAGGTTCCAGGTTCTGTCCTAATCTGCTGTTTAGAATGTGCTTTACACTCAGTCTCTAAATCTGCTGCTCACTCCTCAGACACGCAGCACCCCGGAAAGCATTCCTTTGATCTTTCCCTGAAATAATAACACACACATACACACATCAGCCATAACATTGAAACACCTCCCTGTTTCTACACTCACTGTCCACTTTATCAGCGCCGCTGACCATATAGTTTCACCCTGTAGTTACACAGTTACTGACTGTAGTCCATCTGTTGCTCTGCAAACGTTTACCCTGTTCTTCAGTGGTCAGGACCCCCATGGACCCTCACAGAGCAGGTACTATTTGGGTGGTGGATCATTCTCAGCACTGCAGTAAGACTGACGTGGTGGTGGTGTGTTAGTGTGTGTTGTGCTGGTACGAGTGGATCAGACACAGCAGTGCTGCTGGAGTTTTTAAACACTGTGTCCACTCACTGTCCACTCTATTAGACACTCCTACCTTGTCAGTCCACCTTGTAGATGTAAAGTCAGAGACGATAGCTCATCTGCTGCTGCACAGTTTGTGTTGGTCATCCTCTAGACCTTCATCAGTGGTCACAGAACGCTGCCCACAGGACGCTGTTGGCTGGATATTTTTGGTTCTCAGCACTGCAGTGTTGGTGGTGTGTTAGTGTGTGTTGTGCTGGTGCAAGTGGATCAGACACAGCAGTGCTGCTGGAGTTTTTAAACACCTCAGTGTCTCTTCTGGACTGAGTTATGCAGTATGTGCTACCAAGTGTGCAGAGAGACAGAAAGAGATGAGGAGAGAATGATTCTGTATGAGTGTGTGTGTGTGTGTGTGTGTGTGTGCGTGTGTGTGTGTGTGTGCGTGTGTGTGTGTGTGTGTGTGTGTGTGTGTGTGTGTGTGTGCGTGTGTGTGTGTGTGTGTGTGTGTGTGTGTGTGTTTTGTTGTAGTCTGTGTAGTTATTGAATAATAAGCCTTATTATGTAATAAGCCTGGATTTTAAGGGGTTAAATAACATGAATCAAATAATGCGCTTCATAGAGAGTAAGAGGGAGCTGGTTGTTTAGCACAATGAGTCATATATAATTATGCTATGACCTTTTAGCTCAGGTGCAGCATTCAGCACGAGTGCCCTCACCTGACCTTATTACTCACCTTAATTCACCTATGGGACCAATAGAAATGCTCCAAAATTGCTTCCAATAAAGTTACATTGAAAGTAAAGAGCGTTTTTGCCCTCTCCTGTAAAATTACCATTCTGGAGATATTTGTTTTTGTTCGGACAGCGACAAAATAGTACAAACATACACTATATGGACAAACGTATTGGGACACCTACACATCACACCTACGGGAGCTTTTATGAATCCCATTCTAAATCCACAGGCATTAATATGGAGTTGGTCCCCCTTTGCAGCTCTAACAGCTTCCACTCTTCTGGGAAGCTTCTACAAGATGTTGGAGAGTCTGTGGGAATTTCTGACCATTCATCCAGATGAGGATTTGTGAGGTCAGACACTGATGTTGGACGAGAGGGTCTGGCTCACAATCTCTGTTCTAGTTCATCCCAAAGGTGTTTGATGGGGTTGAGGTCAGGGTTCTGTGAGGGCCAGTCAAGTTCTTCCACACCAAACTCACCCAGTCAGGCCTTTATGGAGCTGCTTTGTGCACTGGGGCTCAGTCATGCTGGAACAGGAAAGGTTCTTCCCCAAACTGTTCCACAAAGTTGGAAGTGTATAATTGTCCAAAATGTCTTGGTGCTGAAGCATTAAGATTTCCCTTCACTGGAACTGAGGGTTCTAGACCAACCCCTGAAAAACAGCCCCATATCATCATCCCTCCTCCACCAAACTCTACAGCTGGCACAGTGCAGTCAGGCAGCTAACGTTCTCCTGGCATTCGCCAAACCCAGACTCGTCCATCAGACTGACTGATAGAGAAGCTGATTCAGCACTTCACAGAATACGTTTCCACTCCTCCAGAGTCCAGTGGCGGCACTTTACTCCACTCCGTCCGACGCTTGGTGATGTAAGGCTTGTGTGCAGCTGCTCAGCCATGGAAACCCTGCCATGAAGCTCTGGACGCTTTTTTTTGCTGATGTTGATTCCAGAGGAGATTTGAACTCTGCAGTTATTGATCAGTAGAGCGTTGGAGACTTTTATGCTCTATGCTCCTCAGCACTCAGCGACCCGCTCTGTGGCTGAGTTGCTGTGGTTCCACTTTTCAATAATTCCACTCACAGTTGATCATGAAATATCTAGGAGGGAAGAAATTTCACAAACTAACTTGTTACAATGGTGACATCTTATTACAGCACCACACTGGAACTCAGTGAGCTCTGTAGACCCATTCTTTCACTGATGTGTGTAAAGGCAGGCTGCATGGCTAGGTGCTTGATTTTATACACCTGTGGCAAAGAGACTGAATGAAACCCCTGAATTCAATTTATAAAGAGCTGTGTCCCAATACTTTTGTCTTTGTATGTTGTTTTGTCGGTGTGTGTTGGTTCTATCAGTGAATGGGGGGCGGGGTTAAAGACCTGCAGGCTACACTATACTGGGCAGCTCTGTCTCAGACAGTCGCAACACTCAGGAGCCCCAGTTATAATCCACATTGACCTGTGAGTTTGTTTGCCTTTCATCTGGAAGAGTCTGAGGAGGACTGGAGGTGTTGGACAGACCTGCTGGAGATCCGATTCAGGAGCAGCTGCATTATATTCAGATTAGGCCGGTTAGTTTTTGCAGAATCCTGAAAATCCTGCATTCTGAACAAACACAAAAATGAAAGGGTAAATTAAGCGCCTCCATGTGTTTGCATGAAGCACCAGAGACAATAGATAGATAGATGGATCACACATGTTAGATCACATGTATGTGCTAATGCAGGGGGGCTCTACCCCCACCCACCCCCACCACCTTACTGCCCATATCATAGCTATTATCTAATCATTCCTCAGCTCTAATACGGTACAGGTCCTGGCAGGGCAGAGAGAGAAGATCATATTGCAGATTCTGGCAGGACAAAGGCAGACACGTGTTACGCATCAGGTCCGTACTAGTTTATGGTCAGCACAAGAAGAATCCATTTTTTCAACCTCTTCAGGAGCGACATACTGTGTGTTGTCTGCATGAAAGGATTTGTAAAAAGGCGTTAAAGGAGCAGCAAAAAGTCTGATTTATCCAGCGAAGACATGTTT